AATACAATGACTGAATTTGATCTTCAATTTAAAATATTTACACTAGTGGATACCACAAAATCTTATGTTATATTTAACGAAAGTATAAATAAACTCTTAATTGTTAGTGAATATTTTTTTTTATGGCATACGCATTTTAAGAAACTAGTTTCAACAATCCAACCGTCAAACTTGTTTGTTTATACTTCGAGATCATCTACACCAAAAATTGAAAAAAATAAACATTCAGAGATAAAGTAACGGGACAAAAAATTTCGACGGTTATAAATGAAAAATCATGATTTAACGGTTATTTTAACTCCGATTTTGATGATTTTTTACCGCTACACTCCTTGACCCAATATGAATACAATGATTGAATTTGATCTTCAATTTAAAATATTTACACTAGTGGATACCACAAAATCTTATGTCATATTTAACGAAAGTATAAATAAACTCTTAATTGTTAGTGAATATATTGTTTTGATGGCATACGCATTCTAAGAAACTAGTTTCAATGATCCAACCGTCAAACATGTTTGTTTATGCTTCGAGATCATATACGCCAAAAATCGGAAAAAATAAACATTCAGAGATCAAGTAACGAGACAAAAAATTTCAACGGTTATAAATGAAAAATCATGATTTAACGGTTATTTTAACTCCGATTTTGATGATTTTTTACCACTACAGTCCTTGACCCAATATGAATACAATGATTGAATTTGATCTTCAATTTAAAATATTTACACTAGTGGATACCACAAAATCTTATGTCATATTTAATGAAAGTATAAATAAACTCTTCATTGTTAGTGAATATATTGTTTTGATGGCATACGCATTCTAAGAAACTAGTTTCAATGATCCAACCGTCAAACATGTTTGTTTATACTTCGAGATCATATACGCCAAAAATCAGAAAAAATAAACATTCAGAGATAAAGTAACGGGACAAAAAATTTCGACGGTTATAAATGAAAAATCATGATTTAACGGTTATTTTAACTCCGATTTTGATGATTTTTTACCGCTACACTCCTTGACCCTATATGAATACAATGACTGAATTTGATCTTCAATTTAAAATATTTACACTAGTGGATACCACAAAATCTTATGTTATATTTAACGAAAGTATAAATAAACTCTTAATTGTTAGTGAATATATTGTTTTGATGGCATACGCATTCTAAGAAACTAGTTTCAACGATCCAACCGTCAAACTTGTTTGTTTATACTTCGAGATCATCTACACCAAAAATCGAAAAAATAAACATTCAAAGATAAAGTAACGGGACAAAAATTTCGACGGTTATAAATGAAAAATCATGATTTAACGGTTATTATAACAAACCATCATCTTTACATATAATAGACGACCATTTTTTATAAAAAAAACGTCATCTTTATATATAATAGACAACCCTTTTTTTAAAAAAAAATTGTCATCTTTATATATAATAGACGACGGTTTTTATAAAAAGCGTCATCTTTACATATAATAGACGACGGTTTTTTTATAAAAAGCGTCGTCTTTACATATAATAGACGACGGTTTTTTCGGTTTTTATAAAAAGCGTCATCTTTACATACAATAGACGACGGTTTTTTCGGTTTTTATAAAAAGCGTCATCTTTACATACAATAGACGACGGTTTTTTTCGGTTTTTTATAAAAAGCTTCATCTTTACATATAATAGACGACGGTTTTATAAAATCGTCATCTTTACATATAATAGAAGACGGTTTTAAAAAAAATCGTCATCTTTACATATAATAGACGACGGTTTTTAATAAAAATCGTCGTCTTTACATATAATAGACGACGGTTTTATAAAATCGTCGTCTTTACATATAATAGACGACGGTTTTATAAAATCGTCATCTTTACATATAATAGACGACGGTTTTTATAAAAGCGTCATCTTTACATACAATAGACGACGGTTTTTTTATAAAAAGCTTCATCTTTACATATAATAGACGACGGTTTTATAAAATCGTCATCTTTACATATAATAGACGACGGTTTTAAAAAAAATCGTCATCTTTACACATAATAGACGACGGTTTTTAAAAAAATCGTCGTCTTTACATATAATAGACGACGGTTTTATAAAAATCGTCGTCTTTACATATAATAGACGACGGTTTTTAAAAAAATCGTCATCTTTACATATAATAGACGACGGTTTAAATATAAGGTATGACGTATAAAGGGAATAAATACGACGTTAAATTTTATAATACGTCGTTAAATGAAAAACAAACGTGGTGAGATTTAAAGATACCGTCGTAGAACTATACAAGAAAGACGTCGATATATTTTTATTTTCCGTCGTTGTACATTAATTTAATACGGCGATATTTTGTATTTTACCGCCGTGGATTTATTTGTAATTATATGGCGCCTTATACGAAAACTTGGTCGTGTTATTTTCTGCGTAAAAACGGCGGCTTTTTTTGAAATCGTCGTCTTTACTTTCTACGTCGGTCGATTCATAACTTCTGCCGTTCTTTATTTGCTTTGATTTTACACTGCGGAAATCCTGTTTCAAATAGACGTCGGTTTTTTAATTAGGTACGTCGTTGTTTATAAACAACCATTTGAATCTCCATTTTTTAGGTGTCTAAGGTGTTATTACACGGCGGTTTTATAGAACCGTCGTCTTTTAAAAAACAACGACGGTTTTCACTTAGACCGTCGTTTTTTTCTGGTCGTCTTTGTCACTTTTTGTAGTAGTGGTGGCAGTTCATGGGTTGGTTTTAAACATTTTGGCCTCTCAAATTAGGCCCCTTGGGTTTTTTGGATTTTGATAAGCCACATGAGAGAAAATCTGCAGAAGTTAACACTTTAAAATAATATGTATTCCTAATAATTGTGATAAAGTCAAGTCAAACAATTCATTGAAGACAAGGGTGTGGAAAATGCCCCAAACATCCAAGAACAAATAGAGTTCAACAAAGAAAGATTAGTACACCAAATATCGCACTTCTCTCACTTAGTGGATCTCATAATGGAACAATGATTTCGAATTCAACCCTAATACAATCAAAGGAAGATTTACAAACATTAGAATCATTTCTTTTCTCAGACTTTGTTCTAGCCACTTGATTCTCATTCACATTTGTTGAAGTCACCCAAGCCAAAGGATTAGTACTGTTTCCACTATCGTCCTTGCTTGGAAAGGAGGGGATTATTAAAACCTGAAACAGGAAAGCACAGATGCTGTAATGACACAAAAAACTAAACACAAATACACACACACACACACACACACACACATATATTCAACAAAAAGTCAGTGAGAAAATTGTTGCTAAGGACATTTGAGTCTTGGAAATATGAGAAAACCTTTGCCACTAGGGCAACTCTCTTCAGTGCGTCTTTTCGTTTTGGGGGCAATTTCGGAGCTTCAACTGCAGGTAGATACTTCAGATTCTCACACATACAAATAGATAATTCATCGACGGCTGCAAGGTTCCTTCATCACTCGAGTAGATCCTCCAGTTCATCAAATTGTCATAAACAACTTCTAAGGACTGTTTACACTTCAAATGGATGGTAGCCCCAAATCTGCAAAATAGTATCATCAAATCCTGAAGAGACATGATTGTGTGTAGGTTATCTCATAAATAAGAATATAACTCTATTTATATTACGAGTCAAAGAAAACAAACTAAAGGGATAGTAGCTTACCATATTGTCCAAAACAATAAGTTCTAGATCACAAGCACATCGCATGCATGAGTTTCTTCTTCAATCTCGACTCTGCCTGGTCAATATAACACCAAGATAAACTTAGCAAGAAATGTTCAAAATTACCTTCAACCTTAAAATGATGGTAAACAGCTTATAACTGAAGACTCCTTTAACTGATTCTTACAAAAGCACAAGTAAAAATGACATGCTATCAAATACGGAGGACCTTAACTGTAGAAGTGGGAAAAAGGAAAATAAATCAATACCTTCCAGAAATAGTGATTTGCTTAACTACATGTATCATGATTATTATTTTAGTGTAAACCTGCATTATGCCATATGTATAGCTGAAATCTGCATTATTGGCTGGAAAGAGAGAAAAATTAAAATATGAAACAGAGGATTACAGATGTTGCAATGACACCATTACCACATAAACACCAGCAACAAAAACAAGGCCATTTTGTGAAATTAAGGACTAAAAGCTTCTGTTTGCAGATCCCAAAGTTTGGAACAAAATCATGCAAGAGTTGAACTGGTCTTGCCTGTTTTCTACGTATTACTTTGTCTTCCAGACTAACAAACCTAATTTTCCTCAACAATCTCAAGTGTTGTTCCTTCTACGAAGCGATTAAAACCAAACAAACTACTGATGAGTTGAATATCTTCTTCTTCTTCTTCTTTGTGTTGCAGTAGACAACAAACTTAATGGCCAATAAGTTAATTAACGATAAATGAAAGTGAGAGAGGACAAGAATTCAAATCATAAATTCCGATTTGAGAAAGAAACGTACACATGACTCTGGCTCTCCTCGGTGCATCTTTTCATTTTGGGGAAATTTTCAGAGCTTCCACTGCTGGTAGATTCTTAAGATTCTCACATATGGATAGTTCACTGAAAGCTTCAAGGTTCCCTCATCACTCCAGTAAACCCTCCAGTTCATCAAATTTTTATAAACAACTTCTCAGGACAGTTTACACACTTCAAATGGATGCTACTCCCAAATCTGCAAAAGAGTATCATCAAATTCTGAAGAGACATTACTGTGTGTTTCCACAAGAAGCTTTGAAAATATATGAAACACTTAACTGGTATATGAAACACTTAACTGCTGATAAAGAAGAATGAAAACAAAAATGGCAAAAGAAGAAGACAAAAACGGAAGAAAAGGAAAGAGCTTTGGACAATTCAATATGAAAATGATTTTTAGCGAATGGGAAACAGCAGTACCTGGATGGAAATAGTTTTCACCTAATGTTTCTCAGCACTTGTTCTTCTGATTCGAGTAAAAGCGTTCCGAAAGTAGGCAAATTATACCAATCGATGAAATGATGATAGCTCCAGTTTACTTCGAAGAACTTCATACTGGAATTCATCCAACACTTCATCAGCATCTTGTACTATGTCTTTAAGTTTCTTCACCCAGGCTTTGACGGTGTGGCCTCGATCTGTTGGTTGCTCCGCAGCATCACGTAAGATGTTTTGCATGAGGGATAATGAATCCCTGAGCTTGGCCAGTTCTCCTTTGAATCCCCAAGCAAGACTGAATTGCTCAGTGGCCAGTGCAGCGACCTTGGTCAGTACTCCCTGGGCAGCAAAAGTAACCACAAACTTAGCCGCCATAAGTTCACCCCTTGGTATGTACGCTCAAGACAAGTAAAGAGCAGAATGCTCAAAATTAAGGAAAACCGACCAAGGTTTAAAGACTCATATAGTTTGTTGTCTCTGTTATGAACGAATTTATAGACGCAGGAGGAAATTAGTTTTCCCTAAAGAACACTCTACTTAAAGATTACTTATTTAGAAGGTTAAGAATTTCAGCTTTAACAAGATAGAGATCAGTATCAAGCTGTGAAGAAAAGGATAGCCTCAATCCCGCAGATGTTTCGACTTTTACAGGAGAAAATCAGATTCCTCAATCAAATGAATAAGAGAATACATAGTGAGGAGCTTTGGCCTTTTCTTTTTTCAAAACTAGGATTGGAAGATTTTTGAAAATCAGAATACTGAGGAATTGTAACGAACAAGCAAAGCAAGGCTTATTGAGAGTTAGTTTCAGAAATCAACAACAACGATTCTGCTCCCCAAGCAATGCACATCACCATCGTTATGTTTTCCACACAACCCTCTAAGGTCATGTTTATAACTTGGGCTACAAATAGACCAAAGTAAGGAAATTCAACGACTCGGTTCGCAACCCAATGCAACTTTCTCCTGAACTCTCTCTGTACATGTATGTTCTCTTCCATTGTTCCTCAATAGCAACTCCCAAATTTTTTTCTATTGAGATGAGGGACCTATTTTGTTCACTCTTGTGTTTTTTAGTATATCCAAGCAATCAATTGATTAATAACGCAATGTGCAAACCGATGGGGAACGAAGATCAACGAACATGAATAACTCCTCTAACAAGGTACCTCTGCTATTACAAGAAAGGTTTTCAAATTTACCTCCAATGCAATCAAATGGAGACTAACAGCACTATATACACGATGAGCTATTTGATAGTTTTGGACCTGGAAGGAAATCGATGTGAGTAATTTTTGGGAGCCATTTAATGGGGCATCATTGTAAATCACCTCTGTGATTTTGAAAACACACCAATGCAACTACGCATTTGATGTGTCAAAGCGAAGCAGAGTAAGAAATTTGCCACATTTAACTCTCTAATCCTAGACTACAAACCAAACACGGGAAAAGTATTAATAGGAAGAGAACGATGAACTGAAGCATAAATAGAGAAAGCACCATATTTGATGTAAATAATTGGGCTACATCCATGGGCGATGCAAATAATAATTCACTAAATCAAAAGTGCACCAGAACATGACAAAAAATAACAAGTAGGTTCTCGCAACCAAACTAAATTAATCTCTCTTCTTTCATCGCATTTCTCCCAAGAGAACCCCAAATACATCCAAAACTCACTTGATCTCTCTAAATTGTGGCCAGGCTTGCAATCTCAAAAAGGACTTAAAACTATCTCTTTTTATAAGAGACAGAATGCAGGGGTTGACTAGCTAGGAAAAGTGTTCTCCACCAGAATGCTTGTCTTAATTAAGCTGCACATCTGGAAGTTGATGGAAATCATTTTTCCTAATTAAACTGCTCCACAACAAGTTGACCTTGTGATGCAAAAACTCATAAGAATATAACTCGATCTGCTAATGAGTGTCAAGAAAACAAACTTAAGGGATAGTAGCTTACCATTTTGTCCAAACACTAAGTTCTAGATCACAGGCACATCGCATGCATGAGTTTCTTCTTCAATCTCGAGTCTGCACAGTCAATATAACACCGAGACAAACTTAGCAAGAAATGTTCAAAATTACCTTCGATTTTTAAAATGAAGGTAAAAAGCTTATAACTGGAGATTCATTTACCTGATTCTTGAAATAGCATAGGTAAATGACATGCTATCAAATAAGACCTTTGTTCTGTGGGATATGCAACCATGCAAGAGTCCATGACCTTAATTGCATAAACAAGAAAAATGAAAATAGATCAACAACTTCCTGAAATAGTGATTTGCTTAAACTACATGTATCAACAACTGATATTCCATATACATAGCTGAAACCCTGCATTGTGAAACAAAGGATTACAGATGCTGCAGGGACACCATGGACTCATAAAAACAACAGCAACAAAAAACAAAGCCATTTTGTGAAACTAAGGACTAAATTTCACAATTTCACACATCAATTAAATATCAAGAAGGGATAGCTGACTAACTATGGGTTTTTTTCTTCTTCTCCAAAATTCATGTTATAGTGTTTCTATTGATTGATTATCTCAAATATGCACACACAAACTGTAACTTGTTTGACAAAACTGAAACGAAAATGACAAGAATCAAATGGCTAAACAACTTCTAATTTAGCTAACTTTTATCTGAATAATGATTGAAAAATAACTTGAAAGAAGAAAATGGGTCTATCTGGATCATTCATGGAATTAGAACACACACATGTCATGTCATACAATTCTAAGGAAAAGGAGTCAACTTATATTCCTCTTTGCTTGGAAAGGAAGACACCCAAAACAATAAAATATAGTATCAAAGGGAAAAAAGAGCCTGCAGGAAGTCAAAAGTGAGCTGAATTGTCTAATCCAAAATCATGATTAATGTGAGAATTATATATGTTTAAACTGCCACAAAACCCAAACTAATTATGTGAAATTAAGGACTCAAAAGCTCTGTTTGAGGATACGAAAAGTTGGCACGAAATCATGCAAGAGCTGAATTATTGTCCCCTGATTTGTATCTAGTAATTTGTCTTCCAAACTTGTTAGCACACATAATTTTCCTCTAAAGTCGAAATTGTTACTCCAAAAACATTGTAATAGCAAAATATTGAGTTTAAAGCAATTAATTTTGTTCTTCCATGATGCTAGGAAGTCTTTGATATTGCAAACCAAAGTAACTGTTGAGTTGAGAAAGATGTTAACAGCCAATAACTTAATTAATTAAATAAAAATGTGACAGGAGAGAAGAGACAAATCATGAACAAAATGATAAGAATTGAAGCTAAACATGTGAATATACATACAAGTCAAACCTACATGAATTTACATATAAGTTAAACATAAGTAATCTCATATGCAGTGGAAAGGGAACAGAAGTAAGTACCTGAAGGGCATACAACCATATCAAAATTATCACACATCACTTATTCTTCTACTGTAGTAAGAGCCTCCTGAGAGTCTACACTTTATGTAGTAATAATAAATCGCATCAGGGAAACTGGTTAAATATGATCAAAGAGAAACATACGTAAGAAGAGAAATAAAAAAAGAAACTTGTAAAGCTTACATTGCACTTCAATGTGAAACTTGAAGCAACTCTTTGGACATGTACTTCCCCTTCCCCCAAGCTTATTAATCCATCAGTAAACTATTCAAAAACAGGTTGGGTCAGTACTGAAGAAAATAAAAATAAAAGTGAGAGAAAGTGAACAAATATTTGACAAATGATTTGAGAAGAAATTACCTGTGACGTTTGGAACATGAGAAATCTTGGGCCATTCTAGGCCAACCTTTTTTGCACATCTTTCCTCTAAACGGGTACATCCATCAACCACTAGCTCTTGTAATTTGTCAAGGCGTTGCATAGCTTTGACCGGAGGTAGATACATCAGATTCTCGCACCTCTGAATACCCAAGAAGGTAAGGGATGTAAGGTTACCCAACCACTCTGGCAAAGCCTCCACTTGGTTAAAAGATATTATAGACAAAGATGTTAGAGAAGTGAAGTGTTGAATTTGTTGAGGCAGAGACTTGAGCTTTGGCCATCCCCACAACCTTAATTCTTCAACATGTGATGGAGCCTCAAAATCAGGGAAAGAATCAAGCTCCTCCGAGAACTTACCAATTGTCAGATGTTCCAAACGGGTCAGAAACTGTAGGCCAGTCGGCAAACATTGTAACTTCCCACAGTCATATATTGATAAACGAGTTAGGGATTGCAGCCTGGATACATCCTCTGCTATAGATACCAAGTTGGGGCATGAGTCGATTGACAAATTGGTAAGAGATGTGCAGGAGGCTAGGCCACTTGGTATACTTGTCAATCCTCTGCAGCTATAAATATGCAACTCACGGAGGGATGTCAGGTAGTCCAAATTGGGAACAGCCTCTAGATTAGGGCAATAACATATTCTCAGCTCCTCAAGAGAGACGAGGGTTTGCAGCCCATCAATCGGTAAATGCATCAAGTTTGGACAAGTATCAACACACAGTGAACGAAGAGAAGTACAAGATTTTAGTCCACTCAATATACTTGAGAACCCCTTGCAATTTCGAATGTTCACTTCACGGAGGGATGTGCAACCAAGTAAAGACAACTCCTCCAGAGAACTACTGATGGATTCCGGTCCATAATCATAAATAAACAATTTGCGGAGGGAGGTGAGACTGTGAATTGATATGGATGTTAGCTTAGGGCAATAAGCAATACTGAACTGCTGAAGGGTGGTAAGACATTCAAGACCACCTGCTAAGCTTGTTAATGCACCACAAAATTCAAATTCCAACTGAATGAGGGATGGTGGGAGGACTTGTGGAATTGGAATTGATGTGAGATTGGGGCAACGACTTATACTCAACATCTGAAGAGAGGTGCAATATTTTAACCCACTTGGCAAGCTTGATAGTTTCTTACAATCCTTAATTTTGAGTTCCCGGAGACATGGTAAGCCTTCTGTAATTGGAATGAGCTCCAGATTAGGGCAACTTGATATAAACAACTCATCAAGAAGAGGAAGTTTATGTAGCAGCCCATCAGGTAAGTGCCTCAGGTTTTCAAAATGGCCGATAATCAGTGACCGAAGATTCTGGTTCTTTTCCACCATCCCTACTGGCAGAGAAGTAAGCTCCTTAATCCCTTGCATATAGAGGGAAGTGAGAGTGGTTAGTTGGCTGCATATGTTTTCAATTGGCATGACATTGTCAAGAACATGTATGTGCAACTTCTGGAGAGATGGAAAATGACTGGGAGCGTTTTTCAATTGCATCAAAGAACTGAGACTCAACTCCTCCAGGCAGGGAAATACCGCCACTGTTGACATCACAGTTGCTTCCTTCCATTCAATTAAAGCGTGGCAAGAACTAAATCGTAAGGTTTTCAATGCTGGGAAAAAAGCTGGCCTGGTTTGGTTATAACCATAAAACTCATCTCCTAGACATTTAAGCTTATCCATAAAGTAAAAGTCAACATGTCTAAGATTTGGTAAATGGCCAAGTGTTGGGACTACTTCACATTCTCTGCAATTGGATAGAACAATCTTTTTCAAATTTCCTGGCAATCCACTCATCATCCATGACGCAAATTTAGAACCCAAGAAACTGCTGATATATAAGCTTTCTAACTTAGGGTGTGGTTCGAGGCCGTCTAGTACTTCCTTGTCATCATCATTTCTTTCCCTGGAATTGCCCCATTCAAGTCTCAAGCTTTGTATGTTTGTCTTCCCAGCTAAATTTGATTCTTTCGCTTCGTCTTTGCCCCTCACATATTCCAAAGATCTAATAATCAGCTCGCCTTTCAATTTGTTCAAGCCACCCAGCTCGTCAATTCCATGACTTCTTGTCCCATCCAGAGTAAAGGAAGGTAGTGTTTGCAGATGGGTCAATCTTCTTATCCCAAATGGAACTTCTATATACTCATTGAAATAAACATGTCTCAAGTTGATCAAATTTTGTAGCTCCTTCGCAAACGTTTGAAGACTGCTTGAACTAGGCATTCTTAGCGTCTGTAGGTTGTAGAGCCTACCAATAGATTTGGGGAGCTCTTTGATGTGTGTTTCAGAAACGTCTAGATATCTCAAGTGTTTTAGCTCACCAATTGAAATAGGCAACCCCTCAATATCAGACCTGTATAGTTTCAAGACACGTAAAGACTTAAAGCTTGCCAAGATGTTACCAAGGGCTTCACCATTCACAAACAAGGATCGCAATTTCCCAGCATTTCTTTCTGAAATTTTTTTCGGTATTAAAGAAGGAAATTGTGCCTGTCCGACGTCAAGCTTATCTTCCTCATCATATCTTGACACTAGTTCAGAAAGATCATGCACAAGATCATGCATCTTGCATTTGGTAATAATGCCCCAGTCATCCTTTACAACATCTTGAAAAAAGGAGTTCTCCAATAGAATATAAAAATATTCATTACCTATGTCCTCCATCTCTAAAGAACTTGAAGAGTGGAGCAATCCTTGAGCCATCCAAAGTTGGATCAAGTCATCCCTTTCAATTTCCACATCTTTCATGAATATTGAGCAATATGCAAAACATTGTTTCAGAGATGGGGATTTCAAAGCATCAAAACTCAACTTCAAAGCTGAGATAATTCTATCCTCTCCTTGTGGTAATTCCCATATTTTACTTTCTTGAATTGACAACCATTCATCTGTACTGTTTTTAGAATGCATCATGCCTCCCAAAACCTGTTTATATAATAAGTTAGACATTATATATACATCTTAAATATTAAAAAGGTTAATTAGTAATGTTTAAAAAATATATATGCAATGAGTAGTTCAATTGATGATATGACAAATGCGAGCCTCAAATTTTATTTTATTTTTATATTATGGATTAGCAATTTGCACAATGTGGAAAAAAAAATTTAAATTTAAATTTAAAATTTAAAATTATTTTATTCTAATTTAAAAAATAAAAAATAACATTAATTAATTCAAAACAAGTTAAAAATAAGAACCCCAAAAGCTTTTCCTCTATCCGCGGTCAAAAAAATGCAAAGAAAACAAGAGCTACTATCATATTGAAATGCATACCTTTGCCACTAATGGTATGCCAGCACATTTTTCAGCAATCACTTTTCCAATTCTCTCCAGATCTGGAGCTATTGGAGTACTACCATTCGGAAAAGCTCTATGCTTCAAGATGGACCAACAGTCCTCTGTTGATAGATTTTTCAAATCATATCTAGGAAGTGTTTCTATGATTGATGCAACGTTGGCACTGCGGGTAGTGACAATTATGGTGCTTCCATGAGCAGAATTGAGTTTCGACAAGCAACTCATCAAGATGTTCCATTTTATATCATCTTCGTTCCAAACATCATCGAGTATAAGCATATATCGCTTTCCTGTCAACTCTTCTTTGAGGTTTTTAAGCAATGCCTCCTGACTTTGAATTCCGGTCTTTGCTGAATTAAGTAGTTCTAAGATCCGGCCTAAAATCAAATTCACTTCAAAGGTGTTAGAGACACAAACCCATATTCTTTTGTCAAATGACTTGTCTATAGCATCCTCGTTGTACACTGACTTAGCCAAAGTTGTCTTTCCTAAGCCTGCCATTCCCACAATTGCCGCAACCGAAAGCTTTTGTTGATTATTGGAGCTGATCAAGGTCTTTACTATATCTGACACAACCTCCTCCCTTCCAAAGATACTTTCATCGTCATCAAAGCTTGAGACAGTTTCCCTGCTCCCCATGCCTTGGGCAACTGGATCAATTTTCTTTGCAACCAATCCAATGAACGATGCCTCGCTCTTGAGATCCGCCAGAGATGCATTGATTTTTTTAATTTTATGGGCCATTTTTTGGCGAAACAAAGTGGCATTTGAGGAAGAAAGGAAGTTGAGTACCTTTTTCTTCATATGGTTTTGCAGTTCCACTTGACTCCGGAGAATTTCATAGTTGATTTCATCCAAGATGTTATCAGCATCATGAGCTATGTCTTTAAGTTTCTCCACCCAATCTTCCACTGCCTTGCCCCGATCTCGTGCTTGCTCAGCTGCACCACCTAAGAAATCTTGAAGGACAGATAGCGATTGACCGAGCTTTTTTAGCTCTCCTTTAAATCCCCATGCCAGCATGAATTCTTGAGCGGCAAGCAAAGCTACCTTCTTCAGTATTCCTTCAGCAGCAAAAGTGAGTAGTGATTCTACTGCCATCTTTCCTTCAGTACGTACGCAACAAGTAAACACTCGAAGAAGACGCACAGGCACAGTATCTGAGTTACTCAAGCTATTAGCCAGAAGGCGATGATCGACTGTAATGTTGACTTATATATAATAATAATTGAGGAAATATTAATCCCATTCACACATACATGACTTATATATTGCAATTTGCATTTAACAATTTGAATTAGGCAGGACGGGTGCATGGTAAGTAATGCAGTCATTGTTTAATCCTTTTTTGTGTCCGAATTCAAATGGATTAAGAATTGTTAATTACTTAAAGACAAAGAGTAGGTGGTTGAGGACCTACGCAAGGAACGATTAGTAAATTGAGGACCTAAGCAAAGTGTTCTGAGCACTAGTTTTAAACAATCTAGAAATAATAAATAAATAAATAAACAACCAAACAAACAAAAAGGTTAAACAGACTGACTTGAAAATTGCAGTTTGTTAAATCTGTTTGGCTTAGATTCACTCATATTCTAGTCTCTCACTCACATTTGTTTACTATGTAGATTTGAATATTGTCATATAGAAATAATATCTTTCTTTCTTTGTTTTTTTTTAAAATGTAATCCTTGTGGCTTTATGTCCCTCGCATCTTCTCCTATTTTGAGTACGCAATAGGTTATCAATGAGGTGTTAATTGGATTGCCTTAGGCTTTTGGTGTACTCACAAGGGGTCATGAGTTCAAGTCCCATTGGTACATGTATGTGTGTGTGTGTGTGTGTGTGAGTTTCCCCCTTTCCCTTTCCTAACTTTGACAACAACAAAAAAGGAAAGAATATGCACCAGGTTGAATTAAAATAGACTAATAATGGTTGTTTTGAAATAAATTAGATTGGATTTTTATCCTCTTGGACCATGTCCAACGCTGCTTACCCAAACCGGTAGTTTGAGTTTTGGATTCAAAATCCTGCCCCAACGCATGTATAAAAACGGGCCAAAATTCTGGATTATGAATAGAGATAGGTGATAGTATTCGAGTCGGACTGAAAACTTGACTAGACCTACCAAGACAGCCCACGTGCAATTGTAAGCATTTGGTCCCCCCACTTTGAAAGCTGAGTTTTATGTGTACGTAGTCCAAAACTCTTCTTTTTTAAAATTATATAAAGCAATATAGGGAAGGGCAGTTTTCTCACACACACACACTGTCAAGGTTTCATGGTGCCATGGGGTTCGAACATGAGACCACTAGTTTGTAAGACAAGGGTTTTTTTTTCCACTGACCTAAACTTCATTGGCAAACTCATATTTTTTTCCAAAATTAGTGAAAATGAGGGAATTTTCTCACACACATACTGCTAAAGTGTTATACAACTAATTAATGGAGCTTACACTTTTCAATATAAGTAGCACCATTCCTCATTTTGAAAAGATTTTACTTGTGTTGTATAAATCTACTGCACCATTAATTCTTGCTGCTATTGATGCATTGTATTTTATTATGCCATGTGTAAATAGGGGTGGCAACAGACCGGATATGGCAATACCATTCCCATCTCTGCCTTCATTCCATATAAGAGTTTTTGGGGAATCCCATCCCTGTCGAGGGGCTACTTTCCAAACCCGCCTCGAATTTATGATATTTTATCATTTTAAAAAAAATATCTTATATCATAACACTTTTTTTCACCTTAAATTATATTAAACTCAATTACATTAAGTTAAATTATAAAATTCAATTCATTGAATCAAAATAATCTCAATTCAATTTGACAAAAATTAAATATATATATTATATTATGATCATGCCTTGTTATATTACATTTAAAACTATACTTAAAAGTAAATATATTACTTATCAAGCAGGTTTGGGGATGGGGATAACAATACCATCTCTAGCCTTTTTCCGATTGGAGATTTATAAAATTCGGAGATCTCTGTACTTGCCCTCGATTTTTCCCAAAATCTTCCCCTATTAGGGTCGGGGGCCCAATGAAAACCCGGCCCAACGAGGATTTATATTTATTTAAAATTTGATGCATAAAAATCAATGGTGTTAGGTTTGCAACAAAAAAAACAAAACAAAAAACAAAAAAAACAAAAAAACTTCACTTAAAAATTGATGATGTGTTGTGTGTTAAATGGTTAGATTACTTAAAAATAAATAAATAAATAACCAGCACTCGTCCACAAAAAATAAACCCAGAATTTCTCTGCTCTGTATCAATTCCGCTCCAATTTGAAGGTCGTAAAGAAATGGATGTAGAGGTGGTCGGTCGCCACGCGCAGTTCTTCGACGACGACGCCAACGCCTGGTTTGTGCTCTTTGACTCAATCTGAGATTCCCAACTCGATCTATCTCCATCTTGTATGCCTATTCCAATGGAATTCGATAAAACCTAGAATTTGATACAGACTTAGATGATGCCCACCTTCCCCCTCCGCATCACAACCCACCTTCATCCTTCCCCCTCAACCACTTGTCTGGTCCAGTAGATAGAAACATTCAATTACATGAATATTTTTTTTAAATATTTGGGTTTTTTCTCTTTGAATTTGGGTGGGTTGAGAAGTCTTTTGAATTTTGTGACTGGGCTGCTGTGGTGGCGGTGGTGGTTGGCTGGGATAAGGTGGCTGGGTGGAGGTCGGTGATGCGAGGAAGGTGTGATGCTGCGCTGGATTTGCCGTCACCGTCTAAGGAACCAGAACAAAAACGTAGTCCAAAACAAAATTACCTTTTTTAGTTTTTTATTTATTTATAATTTATAACTGACAGAATTAATGGATTTGATTTGATATGTTACCGACTGCAACAAGCGACTAGGAAGATAAGTGCTTTTTATACAAGCAATCTCCAAAGCCCGTGGTTTCCTTTTTTTGTTGGTCAATGTGGTTTTCATCTCCAGTGCCTTTCAAATTAGGCCCCTGTGGTTTTCGGGATTTTAATAAGCCGCATGAGAGAAAATCTGCAGAAATTAACACTTTAAAATAATACGTATTAATTATAATTGTGATTCAAACAATTCATTGAAGACAAGTGTGTGGAAGCTGCCCTAAAAATCCAAGATCAAACAAAGTTCAGCAAAGAAAGATCAAAACACCAAATATCGCACTTCTCTCATAATGGAACAATGATTTCGAATTCAACCCTAACACAATCAAAGGAAGATTCACAAATATTAGAACCATTTCTTTTCCCAGACTTTGTTCTAGTCAAATGAGCTCCCTTAAACTCTTGCTCCACGTAATGATCTTTTTAAGATCGATCATTCTCGAAGTGGTCAATAGGACGGCAAATGGGATTACAGAATTTGTGGCCTTTGGCTCTCTAGTCCATTGTTGCGAACCAAATGCAGGAAAAGTAAGAGAGACAAACGAAAGCAGATATAAACTCAAAAATGAACGTGGTCCACCATAATTGGTCTACGGCCACGGCCGATTGCGTTCATAATCCACTAAATCAAAAGTTTAGAAGATTGTTACAATGACGAGGAAAGTTCTTAAAATCACTCTAAAATTATCTCTCATCCCATTTCTCAACAAAGAACCCCAAATACATTCTAAACTCACAAACTTCTGCTATCATTCGTGCTTTAAAGACTCTAAATATCTTATTTGCATGAGACAGGCCTTAGGACTTCATTAGGAAGAGCTTTCTTCATGATAAACGCCCTCCAAGTATAGTGTTTTCCGATTATGCTGCACCATAAGAAGTTTCCCTGTGATGCAAAACTCATAAGAATACAACTACAGTATAGTGATGACAATAAAACATTCGGTGTAATGAAAGGGATTAGAGCTTACCAATTTGTGCAAATTAAAATTTCATGAGACAAAAACATGCATGGCAGTGGCACTCATAGCGCATTCATGAATTTCTTCTTGAATGCTGACTCTGCCTGGTCAAATATTAAACCTAGAACAAGTTAGCAAGAACTGCGCAGAACAACCTTCCACCAAAATAGACTTGTGTGGATGCCTGATACAATGTCATACTAAAAATGAATCTGTTGTCCCTTACTTTTTAGCATTATGAAGACAGACACCCGCTGGGAGAGTGAAGAAGAGCAACATTCCACTTGATTCTCTTTCACATTTGTTGAGTCACCCACGCCAAAGGATTAGTACTGTTTGCACTATCGTCCTTGCTTGGAAAGGAGAGGATTATTAAAACCTGAAACAGGAAAGCATAGATGCTGCAAGAATAGTAGCTTACCATATTGTCCAAAACAATAAGTTCTAGATCACAGGCACATCGCATGCATGAGTTTCTTCTTCAGTCTCAACTCTGCCTGGTCAATATAACACCAAGATAAACTTAGCAAGAAATGTTCAAAATTACCTGCAACCTTTAAAAGGATGGTAAACACTCCTTTACCTGATTCTTGCAACAGCATAAGAAAAAATGACATGCTATCAAATAACAGAGGACCTTAACTGTAGAAACAGGAAAACGGGAAAAAGGAAAATAAATCAACACCTTCCAGAAATAGTGATTTGCTTAACTACATGCATCATGATTATTATTTTAGTGTACTCAAGGTAAAAAAGTTAATCACTATCAACAGCTGATATGCCATATATGTAGCTGAAACCTGCATTATGGACAACACCATTGGCTGCATTATGCCATGTATCTCCTTGCCTGGAAAAGAAACAAAAATTAAAATATGAAACAGAGGATTACAGATGTTGCAATGACACCATGACCACATAAACACCAGCAACAAAAACAAGGCCATTTTGTGAAACTAAGGACTAAAAGCTTCTGTTTACAGATCCGAAAAATTGGAACAAAATCATGCAAGAGTTGAACTGGTCTAGCCTGTTCTCTATGTATTAGTTTGTCTTCCAGACTAACAAACCTAATTTTCCTCAACAATCTCAAGTGTTATTCCACAAAGATTGTGAAAACACAATGTTGTATTTATAGTTCCTCCAATGAAGCAATTAAAACCAAACAAACTATTGATGAGTTGAATATGTTCCTTCAATTTATAGTAAAATTTTTTTTTTTTTTTTTTTTTTTTTTTTTTTTTCTTCTTCTTCTTTGTGTTGCAGTAGACAACAAACTTAATGGCCAATAAGTTAATTAACGACAGATGAAAGTGAGAGAGGACAAGAAAACAAATCATAAATTCCGATTTGAGAAAGAAACGTACACATGATTCTGGCTCTCCTCGGTGCATCTTTCATTTTGGGGAAATTTTCAGAGCTTCCACTGCTGGTAGATTCTTCAGATTCTCACATATACAAATAGATAGTTCACTGAAAGCTTCAAGGTTCCCTCATCACTCCAGTAAACCCTCCAGTTCATCAAATTTTTATAAACAACTTCTAAGGACTGTTTACACTTCAAATGGTTGCCAGCCCCAAATCTGCAAAAGAGTATCATCAAATTCTGAAGAGACATTACTGTGTGTAGGTTATCTCATAAATAACTCGGATTCTTCACACAATGGTTAAAAAGTGAGGAAAGAGAGGTGCCAAATGCATCCAGTGGTAAGATGGAAGCATATAACAAATGTTGCAGATTAATAGATGAAGCAAACAATTTACAACCAAATTCTTATTTTTTTTTTTAAAAGGAATAATAATAAAGCTTGAGCAAAAAGAATTCTTATTGAAGGTATACAAGTGTTAAGGTTTGATATCACTGATAACATATCTAATTGTCGGTGGAAACTTTTCCAGTTAGTCGCTACGCATGACTCTAAATGCAGTCGAACAAATATTTATACAGAGCAGGTAGTTTATTGATAGAAAGTGTAATGAAATTAATTTAGGGAGATGTGTGTGTGTATATATATATATATATATATAGGAAAATGATTTCTAAGAATAATTGTATTCTCCATGCTAGTAAAGTAATGTTATGATTTCTAAGAAAATGATTAGCGTAATTCTCATCAAATACTTTTTTTTTCTTCCAGCGTTTATCTCCAAAGCAATGAATAAATAGTGATGCAGGGGAATAGGAACTGAACTGAAGTACCTGCACTAAGTTTGCACCTTTGGCGCATCACTTGTTCTTCCAATTGAGTAAGATCCTTCTGAAAACCAACAAACTGTGGCAAATTGAAATAATATTAGATGCCATTAGTGAAACAAATAAGCTAAACCCCTATGCAATATATATTCGGATAATTCAATATGAAAATGATTTTCAGCGAATGGGAAACAGAAGTACCTGGATGGAAAAAGTTTCACCTAATGTTTCTCAGCACTTGTTCTTCTGATTCAAGTAAAAGCCTTATGGAAGTTGGCAAATTAGACCAATTGATGCCATGAGTAAACATGAATAGTTGAGTACTATGCTAGTTTGGTGATGCTTTGAGTGAGTCGAATCATCACTTGAAGATTCCGATTCTTTACAGCCAAACTCCGTCAACTGTAGAAAGAAAAGTAAGAGAAGGGAATTGAAAAAACAATTAATTAATGATTTGATTTGATCAGAGTATTAATTACCTCTTATATCTGGGATGTGAGAAATCATGTGCCATTCTGGGCCGCTCTCCTTGGCACATCTTTCCGCTAGACTGGGACATCCACTAATCGATAGCGTTTCTAATTTGGTGAGGCGTTGCATACGCATCAGATTCTTACAGTCCCAAATATGCAGGTTGATAAGAGATGTAAGGTTACCCAACCACTCTGGAAGAGCCTCCATGCTGTAGAAAGAATCTATAATCAAATCTTCTAAACAAGTAGTCAAGTGTTGAATTTGTTGAGGCAGAGACTTGAGCTTAGGCCACCCTGAGATCTTTAACCATCGAATTTGTGATGGAAGCTCAAAATCAGGGAAAGAATCGAGCTCTTCCCAAAACTTACCGATTGTCGTATATTCCAAACTCGTCAGAGAGCGTAGCCCCGTTGGCAAATATTTTAATTTCCGACAATCAAATATTTGTAAATTGTAAAGAGACTGCAATCTGGATATATCATCGACATCTGCCAGAGAGATCAAATTATGGCATTCCCCGATTGTCAGGATTGTAAGAGATGTGCAGGATTGTAGCCCCCTCGGTAGACTTGTGAGTCCATCACAACCCCAAATAGACAACGTATGGAGGGATGTGAGGTTGTCTAAACTGGGAATAGCTTCTAGATTAGTGCAATTCCTTATGTAGAGCTCCTCAAGAGAGACGGGGTTCTGTAGCCCATCAACCGGTAAATGCCTCAAATTTTGACAATTTTCAATATGCAAATCCTGAAGAGAGGTGCAATATTCCAACCCACTCGGCCAGCTTGATAATTTCTCACAATTCAGAATATTCACTATGCGGAGACATGGCATGCCCTGGCTCTGGGTGGTAATTGGAATGAACTCTAGACTAGGACAATTCTTTAGAGTCAACTCCTCAAGAGAGACAAGGGTCTGTAGCCCATCAACCGGTAAATGCCTCAAATTTTGACAATTTTCAATATGCAATTCCTGAAGAGAGGTGCAATATTCCAACCCACTCGAGCAGCTTGATAATTTCTCACAATTTTCAATCTTCAATTTGCGGAGACATGGCATGTCCTGGCTCTGGGTGGCAATTGGAATGAACTCTAGACTAGGACAATTCTCTAGTGTTAACCCCTCAAGAAGATGGAGTGTGTGTAGCTCATCAGGTAAATGGCTAAGCTTATGGCAATGGTCAATATGCAGCACCCGAAGATTGTGGTTGTTTTCCAGCATCCCTACTGGCAGACGAGTAAGCTCTAAGGCTTTATGAATTTCGAGGTGAGTGAGAGTGATTAGTTGACTGCATATATTTTCCATTGCCATGACCTGGTCAGTATTATATATGATCAACTTCTGGAGAGATGGAAAACGACTTGGAGCATTTCTCAAGTGCCAGCAATTCCAAAGAGTCAACTCCTCAAGGCCGGGAAACACCGCTGCTGGCGTAATCACATCCACTTCCTTCCATTCAATTAGAGCTGGGCAATTATAAAAAACTAACGTTTTCAATGATGGAAACAAAGCCGCACCATAAAACTCAACTTCCACACATTTAAGCTTATTCATATGTTCAAATTTAACATGCCTAAGATTTTTCAAATTGCCGAGTGGAGGGACTTCTTCACATTCCCTGCAGTCGGATAACCAGATCTCTTTCAAATTGAGTAGACTCATCATCCATGATGCTAATTTACCACCCATGAAGTTTTCAATCTTTAAGATTTCTAGCTTAGGGTTCGGTTGGAGGCCTTCTAGTACATCAACATCACTCTCCTTATTGTTTCCCTGCCAGGAATTCCCCCACTTTAGTGTCAACTTTCGTATATTTGCTTTCCCTACTAAATTTGATTTCTTCGCTTCGTCTTTGTCTTTCACATGTTCCAAAGATGAGATAGTTAGTTCACCTTTTAATTGGTTTAAGCCACCCAGCTCATCAATTCCATGATTCTTTTCCTTATCCAAATTAAAGTAACGTAATGTTTGCAGACGAGTCAATCGTCTCATCCCAAATGGAACTTTCTGATCATGGTCGAAATAAACATGCCTCAACTTGATCAAATTTTCCATTTCCTTTGGAAACCTTTCCAGTTTCCGTGTATGCCGTGTATACATTCTTAACGTCTGCAGATTGTAAAGCTTGCCAATAGATTTTGGAAGTTCTTTGATTTGTGTTCTAGAAACATCCAAATACCTCAAGTATTTCAACCTGCCAATTGAACTTGACAACTCCTCAATTGCAGCATCGTATAAATTCAACACTCGTAAAGAATTAAAACTTGACAAGCTATTTCTAAGGTCTTCTCCATTTGAAAATAGGGGCTGCAATTTCCCAACAGATTTTGACACTAGTTCTGCAAGATCATGCACAAGATCGTGCATCTTGCATGTGATAACAACTCCATCTTTATCCATTGTAACATCTTGAAAAAAGGAGTTTTGCAATAGAATATTAAAATATTCATTCCCTATATCTTCCATCTCTTGATTACTTGAAGAGTGGAGCAATCCTTCAGCCATCCAGAGTTGGACCAACCTCTCCTTTTCAATTTCGAAATCTTTCATAAATATTGAGCAATATGCAAAACAATGTTTTAAAGGTGCTGATTTCAAATTATCAAAACTCAACCTCAAAACTGACATGATTCTATCATCACTTTCTGGTAATTCCCATATTTCACTTTCTTGAATTGACCGCCATTCATCTATACTGTTTTTAGAACGCAGCATGCCTCCCAAAACCTGATGGTATACATGAGTTAGGATATGTGTACATTCAATTTTACTAATGACAAAAAAAGAAGCAGTAAACAATTAGGTAGTTTAATCGAAATTTGACTATAATTATATGGAGCATTTCATTTAGACCCCTTGAGTTTTGGCATAATTATAGTGAGAGCCCACGTGTTTGATTTATTATAGTCACACCCCTTATGTTAATTGTTTTTAACAAAAACCTAAAACTAAACTAATTAAATTTAAGGAAAACAAGAAAAGAAGGGAAACACCAAACCCTTTTTCCGTCCCCTCCCATCCTCCATTCTCTCTCTCTCTACTTTGAGGATTGGTAGCTAGCATTAGGGCTAAATTGCTTAGTCGAGTTGTTGATGAGGGTGTGTGTGTGCATCGGTGGCCCATGGAAGAGAGAGGTGTTGGTGGCTCTGGCTAATGGGTTGGTGGGTTGGTGGCTTTGGGATGACTTGGCTTTATTTTATTTTTTTCCGATAATTTTAATCTTAGATTTAGGTGGGTGTATGAGTTAACATATGTTAAAAATGGGGGTGTAAGTGGAATAAATAGAACCTGGGGGTCTGACCGTAATAATGCTAAACCTGCGGGGGTCCAAGTGAAATTCGCCCATAATTATAATAATACAAATATTGCACTGACAAACTTCATACAAATGCCATACTCAACAAAGCTTAAAGACATATTGCTTCATTGATTCACAAGGATCAAAATTTATCCTAATGAAACAAAAAACAAAACAAAAGGTTTTGTGTGATGTGAGAGTTTGTCATGTGTGATCAAAGTGATTTGGATACTCTCATTTTAATATATTAGAGATTAGAGATTTGCCCTTACGTAAATAAATAACAAGAAATTAACGAGAGTTTTATGAGAAAATTACAAAGGAGAGAGATTATTTGCATTTTGGAAGAGTTGATTTCCTTTTTAATTATAATTTTCTTCTCTATTAGCGTATTCATCAATACCTCCCATGGACATAGCCAAATATAAGATGAACTATATAAATCATCTCATCTCATGAATACGTATGCTTGCTCTTTTAAGGGTTTCTTACGATTGCTTTCGCTAACAAATGGTATCATAACTTTGGTCTGTGAGGAGTAAGCAAAAAATATGTACATCCTTCAAAAATGAAGGGTGAACTAGTCATTGAAGATTATGGTTGATAAAATTTTGGATGTATTTTTCCATGTTGATCAGCTTAGGGGAAAGATTGGCAGAGCCTTGGTTCCCCATTGGCATGGTGAGGCTAGGGGACGATGCAAGGGACTTGGCCAATAAAAAAGTTTGGTGGGTTTTGAGACACAGCTTTTTTTCTCTCTGTTTTTTTCTTTTCTTGTGCATGTGCTTTCTATTTATTTTTATTTTTACTTTTTTAATTGCTTTTGCTCTTTTTTTTTCTTTTCTTGTGCAAATAAAATTCTTCGGTTGCGTGATTGGTCTACTTTTCCCATTATTAATTTTTTGGTTTGGTGGGTGGGTGGGGTTTTTTTTTTTTTTTTTTTTTTTTTTTTTTTTGGGCTGGACTTATTTTGAGTGTTTTGGATTTTTAATAAAACTTAGGATAGGGCTTCAAAGTGGGTTTTTGTTTTGAAGAAGTGGTGGCAAAGTGGTAATTTAGTTTGGGTTTTTATAATAAAACTTGGGCTGGGCTTCAGTGGGTGTCAATGTTGTAATTTATATATTTTTTGAGTGATGTTTTGTTTTTGTAAACAGACTTGGGTTTTTTAATCGAATTTCTATATGGGTGGGCTTGAAAGTCAGGCTCCCTATAAGCAAAGTGAAAATGTAAAAGGTTTTTGTCAAACTAATATTTACCAAACTAAACAGAGAGGACGAATTACATGCAAAAATCAATTATGATGAGATTCAAAATCAATTATAATGATGTGGGGAAAGCAGTTCTTAGTTTAAAAATCAATTATAATGAGATTCAAAATAGTACATACCTTTGCCACTAGTGGTACACCTGCGCACTTTTTTGCCATTTGCTTTCCTATTGTCTCCAGATCTGCACTTATGGGAGCGTTTTCATTAGGAAACGCTCTATTCTTCATTATGGACCAACATTCATCTTCTTCTAGAGTATCCAAATTACACCTAAGATTAGGATTTGTTTCCGTAATTGATGCAACGTTTGCACTGCGGGTGGTGACAATCACAGTGCTTCTTTGGGAACCAAGTTTTGACAAACAATTCATCAAATTGCTCCATTTTGTACGATCTTCGTTCCAAACATCATCGAGTACAAGAATATATCTCTTTCCAGCCAAGGCTTCTTGAAGGTTTTTAAGCAATGCTTCTTGACTTTCTATCCTGGCAATTGTGGGGTTAAGTACTTCTAAGATCCTTCTTAAAATCGAATTGACGTCAAAAGGGTCAGATACACACACCCATATTCTTTCGTCAAATGATTTATCTATAGCCAACTCGTTGTATACTTTTTTAGCCAAGGTTGTTTTTCCGAGGCCCGGCATTCCTACAATGGGCATAACGGAAAGATTTTCCTGATTGTTGGAGTTGGTCAAGGTCTTGACTATATAGGACAACAACTTCTCCCTTCCAAAAAACTTCTCATTTGTATCAAAGCTTGAGACAGTTTCTCTGTTCACCATAGCTGGGGGGGTTGCATCTTTTTGTTTTGCAACCAGCCCAATCAAAGATGCGTCACTCTTGAGATTCGCCAAAAGTTGGTTGATGTTCTTAATTTTCCGTGCCATTTTAAGGCGAAAAGCAATGGGATTGGAGACTGAAAAGAAGTTGAGTACCTTTTTCTTCATGTGGTTTTGCAGCTCCAGTTTACGTCGAAGAACTTCATACTGGAATTCATCCAGCACATCATCAGCATCTTGTGCTATGTCTTTAAGTTTCTTCACCCAAGCTTTGACGGCGTGGCCCTGATCTGTTGGTTGCTCAGCAGCATCACGTAAGATGTTTTGCATGAGGGATAATGAATCTCCGAGCCTGGCCAGTTCTCCTTTGAATCCCCAAGCAAGACAAAGTTGTTCAGTGGCAAGTGCAGCTACTTTGGTCAGTATTCTCTCGGCAGCAAAAGTAAGCACAAACTCAGCGGCCATATTTTCAGCTTTCAAGTTTAGCAAGACTGAGATCACCACCAATCTGTTATAAAGGAAGGAAATAATTGATCTTACTTTTCTTGGGAATAAATGGCCCACTATTTCTTCGAAATAATTTATCTTACTTTTTCTCTCTGCCAGCCAGCCTGGTATGCACTAAGGAGCTTTGGCTTTTCGTTTATTGGAATCTAAAAACAGTTAGTTTATTGACAACAAGAAAATCAGCCTAACCAGAAAGGGAAATGCTAGCAACCTTCTCTCTAACCTTCTTTTTTGGACTTTCTCCCTTTTCCTCATGACATGTGTCACTTTCCTTCACTTAAATCGATGTAACTAATGCATCAAACAAGTTAACATTTGTTTTCCAAGTTTACCCTTATTAAATGTTTTGTTATTCAATTTGTTCAAAAATAATTGTACAACTCTCTTCTTAACATATAAAATAATAAAATTAAAAAATAATAAATAATAAAAATTTTTTTTTAAAAAAAAAAAAAAAAAAAAAAAAAAAAAAAAAAAAAAAATATATATCTTCTTTTTTAAAACTTCTATTTTTTTAAACACAAAAGAATGACCTAAAAATACACTCAATAGAAAGATCACATTTTTATACAAAAAAAAGACTTCCTTCAAAAGGAAGTTCATTAATTGCATTTTTTTATACTACTAAATAAAGTTAAAGAGAATTTTCAGTGACAACTAAATATATATATATATATATATATAACCCCAAATAATCAGATTCCATAGGAAGTTCATAGTTTTATTTATATTTATTTATATCCCTTGCTGCCTTTGGAGTTTGATTATTTGAAAAAAAAAATTCCTAAAATTCTGGCATACCAAATTTTAGATTAAACCAATGTCTCTCCTTACTTCCTTTGGAATCTTTCAGGCAACAAAAAATAAAAGTAACGTTTTTTCTTATTTAATTTTTAAGTCTTATTTGAATGTCTCATTGCCTTTAGAGTTTTTTTTAATAAAAAAAACGTTTTTTCTTAATTAATTTTTAACAAGGTGGTAAGAAGTTTGTAAAAAAAAAAATTGGATAAATTAAAGAAAACAGTAAAATCAATATATTTAATAAGGGTAAAATTGGAAAACTAATGATGGCTTGTTTGATGCATTAATTACATTATTTTAAGTGTAAGGAAATGGACACATGTCATGAAGAAAATGGAGAATGTCCAAAAGAGAAGGTTGCTAGTATTCCTCAACCAGAAAAGAGGTAACAAATGTGAACAAGTTCTAGGTTAGTAGAAAATGATTTTGATTTACAAATTAGTGTTTTCAAGTCCGAACTCTTATGACACCTTAATAATATGTATTGAAAACTCCCCTTCTCTTTTTTTTCTTTTTTATTTTTAAATATAAAAAACAAATTTCCTCCCTCTAGTTAAACTATGTCTTATACTGAAAATCTTCAAAAGAAATTGCAAGTAATGATTTGCATCATAGCCACGTCTTATGAAAAGTCAAATGCGTTGTTTTTATATCCACATTATTATTGATGAAATTGAAAAATAGTAAAAAGTGCTAGACGACAGCTAAGTGACGGGGCTCCTCATCGTCCCCAAACGCAAGGACCCACACACACACCCCTACCTAAACTTTATTGGGAATAAGCTGGTGTAATCAGGTTTCAGAAATAGTGTGCTGAAATGATCAGGCTACAAATTGTGTTCTGATATAATCACTTGGGGACGTGAAATGACCAAAGTGCCCTCCATATAAAAGCATATTTATTGTGGAGCTATTGGCCATTGATTGCTGACCGAAAACTTCTGACCTCGCTCTTTGCGTTCTCTCTTCCTCTCTCAGCATTTTATCTCTCCACCGTCGCTCCATGACCACCACCACTCTGTTTCTCCCACTCTCGCGAAACCCATCCCTGTGTCAATTTCTCAACAAAAAAAACTCAATCTTTATCCCCTATCTAGGGTTATCTGGTCTTACAAGTCCAACCCAGAAAAATAAAAGCTTAGCCAAAGCCTTGAATACATGTCCTTTAAGTTTTAATCCTTTATATTTTCTTTCATGAGAAGAAATAATGGACACAATGGACAAATCAGAGTCGATTTGCTGCCTTCTGATAGCATTTACTTCATTGTGGGAATCATTAACAAGAAGCTCGATCTGAATCAGTTCCAAAATGTCCATTCTTGCCGCAGTGGGCTATCGGATTCTTGTCTCGAATCGTTGAAACGGGGCATCCAGGTATTTATTTATAACCTTTCTGTTCTGATTACATTTGGACCTTTGCGTTTCTATTTTTATTGAAATCGTTTTGTGAGCTTTTCAATATGTGTGTTTCTTTTGGGATTCTTTCAATTGTCTGTTTCTGGGTTGTTGTTCTATTGGTCCTGCTCTCACGTAGATGAGCAATTGCATATGGATTTATAGTGCTGGAGCTAAATAAGATATATTAAAGTATATTTTAAATCTTGGAGTGGTCTTCTTTACTAAAAAAAGGATCAGTTTTCTTTGTAAAGATTCCCCCTTTGTTTATGTGTATGTATGTGCATACATACAGCTCTTGATATTTATCAAATGTTTATTTCATAGGTGATTTACTTAGACAAACTCTGCTTTTGAATACTTATCTAATATAGTAGTAGAGTGCTCATTTGTGTGGTGAGTGCAGGACTAGTTCCCGTGCAGTGACCATTTGTGTGGTGATTGTAGGACTAGTTCCCTGTGCAGCACAAGAGATTGAAAGGTTTTCTGAAGATACGAGAAACAAGGTTTGTATGCCAAAGATTGGGGCACAAAGTTCAGATCTTGGCCGAGTTTCAGCCAGATTTTTGGTTGCTATTTCTCCTATTTGGTCAAAGACACTACTTGTGCAGAGACTTTTGCATTTATACGGAAGAGCTTATTTTATTTGGGCTTGATATATTATGCTTGAGGATTAAAAGAAGGAAATTTTTGGATATGCTTCAAAATCCCGCGTTTAGAACATTAATGAATCATCAGAAAGGCTTCAGCTTTAGATGTTAATAAGGGATTGAATATGTATTAAGCAGAGTCTAGCATATGGATCCCTAGTGGTGCTTTCCTCTTAGTCATTTACCTGTCAAATTTTGTAACTCATCTTTGATGTTCCCTGGAAAAAAATCTTTCTTCTTTCATTCTTCTTTTGAGTTATTCCCATCTGTAACTTATCCTTGATGGATGCTTCTTCTTGCAGGTAACTTCATAGCTGTAATAACATACCACATTTTGCCTGACAGTAGGATTTTCGGGTTGCTTATTGCCTAAGTTTTGTACAAAATAGCTATTTTCTTTTTCTTTTTTTCAATTCAAAAATGGCTTTAATTTCTTTTCTTGGTTACTCAAAAAGAGTGTTTGTTTCTTCGTCCTTCTCATTCATCTTACTCCTTTTAAATTTTGGAATGCAGTGATCTCAACACCCTGATAGTGAAATGGCGAAATCACAAGGCATCACAGTTTCTCCTCTTGCGCAACAGCAAGGAAGCAAAAATGTTCAGACTGGACGTCCCCAGAATATACTCACCTTAAGCTTGACTAAAGGAAATACAACATATGATGAATTTAAACATGGATTCCCATATGATGGCTTATCCACTGCATCCAATAAATGGTGGGGAAGCAATAGCCCTTATGGTTATGAGAGCATCCATGGAGAAGGAGCTGAGATTGATGAAGACAAGAAACATCAGTCGGAAAAATTGGCAGGTGATGGTGCAAGTTCAATTGTAGTGGACAAAGAGAAATGTGAAAGTGGGAAAGAAGAGAACATTAGTTCCCAAGGAACAGATTTACTGATGGCTGTGAGAAAAAGAAGTCTGGAAGAAGGGCAAAAAGCACTTAAGCTTGGTGTTTTACGGGGTTATGGTGCAAAGAAGCTAGGCAGAAGGGAGAGGGCATTGCTTCTCCGAATATTCTCTCTTCAATCGTAGTTCGACTGCTCTGGACATTATAGATTATATATAATTCATGTTAGGTTACACAGTTTTTTCTTTCGACATGATTGACAATCATATTGAATTCTCAATCTGAATGGCATTTTCTTTTTTTATTTGGCCTCAGTCTGAATGGTATTGTTTTGTTTTTCTTCATGATGACCATGAGTTTCATAGACCCCATTGGTTGATGGAATCTTGAGAGAGGTTTCCAAACCACAAAAATATTGTACTGCTACTGTTTACCCCACAAAATCATTGTCCTTACTTCCTTTTCATTTGTTGCAATGACTGTTTGGCATTGATTGGTCTATTTATTTTGCTTTTGTTTTTGCCTCTGGTACTGTATTCATGTCCTTGCTTACTGGTTCCCTTTTTGGGGTTTTCAAAGGTGTAGCTTTGGTGGTTTTCAATGCCACTGCTAGTGCATCTTCTTCTTATTTCTTGTCAAAGTTGATAGGGAGGCACATGACATTGTCTTCTCTATTAGGCCTAACAAGCTGCAGTTTTTTCAAAACCAGGTAAATTCAAATGTCTCAATATCTCTCATTGATAGGGCTCTCTCTCTCTCTCACAAACGAGCTACTTAAGTAGCTATCAAACGGTCAACAGCGAACGTTAAATACTGCACCATCATCACCCTCTTCACCAACCCACTTTGCTCGCTGCATTTTTTGTACAAGAGCTCCACGGTTCGTGTAAGTTCTCATTGCTTCTTTGATCAATTTGCTTCGAGTTAGCTCAAAAAACTTAAACTGCAATGCTTCTAATTCTACTTTGAAAGATTGGAATGAAATGAGCAAGTTTCTTGGCGGTTGGCCCCCAATTCTGGAACTAATTATCTGGGATTAGTTCACTGCTCAAAAACAATATGGGAGTAATAAACGAGCAATAAAGTGCAATAGACGAGCAATAAACATGCAATACAAAAACAATACGGTAGCAATAAACGAGCAATAAAGTGACAATAGACGACCAATAAAAAAGCAATAAAAATACAATAAACAAATTGTGGGCTTTTCTTTTTCTTGTGCAATTTGAAAAGAAAAGGGGAAAGAAACAGAAATTGCCAAGATAAAACTACAGAAAGAAACAGAAAGTGATTATATCAGACATTTCCCCTTACAAAATTCTATACTGATAATGATAGCCACCCCAAGCTAAGGACGGCTCGGCATAAATTAATACAACTTCAGTCAGACTATGGCATTATACATATCCCTTGTAATACAATATACAAATTGCTGGCTCAAATAAGAGTAACAAAATTTTGATTCCAAATCCAGCATTTCAGTACAAATTGATGACTATAATGTCTACGTCCATCTTGAAAATGAAATTCTTTCCACCATCTTGGAGGCCTGACATAATGCTCTTTGATAGTCACCCACCCTTCTTTAAAAAAGTTCGTCTTTCCTCTGCAAGAAAAAAAGAAAACAGAAAAACCAAGATCAAGATCAATTGTCCTCCAAAAATATAGCTTAATTCTGCAGAAGATACTAGAGATGATTTGAGGCCATTAATACTCGAGGTCTGTCCTTCAAGCTTAAGTAATTCATCATGCATCTGATCCATAATGAAGCTAAGGGAACTCCTGAGCATCTTCTTGTTTGAAAAAACAAAAATAGTTTCAATAGGCAAAAATAGTATCAAATTTTGGACAAGCTAGGTAAATACATCTCAGATATTAAAGATTGTAAGAATAAAAGAATCATGTACACATACACCCATACCTTGAATTAACAATGCTGGACTTCCATCCCTTGGATTTGAGGTTTTATCTACAATGACAAAAGTGGCCCCATTTTGGATCTATCCAAATTAACAATGAAGAAGAGTGAAATGCAAAACATGATATGATTCGTCAAACTCTCAAAACTAGGTCAAAACATAATCAGGGTAAACGCCATAAGAAAGGCCATGACTGAAAAGGCACTGACCCAATATCCTTTTTCTTTTTCTTGATGTACCAATAGTACTTTTAGAAGGAAATAAATAAAACATATTCTTCCACTAACATATATATACATGCCCACTAATTTTTATTTGGCCAAGGAATCCAGGTTTTACACCCTACAAATAGCTTAGGTAAAGATCAACCTATTTATTAAATGTCCACAGCCTCAAATTCACTGAGCTTCACATGGATATACAATGCCTCTTCTATAGATTACTATTTTCCAATGACTTAACAACTTTTGCTCATCTTGGATCTTCTTTAATTACGAGGAAACTAAACCAAAAAAAGGTGAGAAAATATCATGAAAAGAAAGTTATTAGATACTCAGAAACCATTAAAGATTCTACTCAAATATAAAATCTCTATAACACGTTTATCCGAAAATCTCTATGACTTTGTTTAATTCAATTGCAAGACCAAGCAGATTGTTATTACTCTTCACCACCACAGGAAAAAAAAAAGGAAAGGTAAAATATAAACATTCACAAATTACCTCATCAACTGCATTGTCAAGTAGATCTGATATGGCTGAAAACAAGAATAAAAAAAGGAATGTACTGTCCTTGTCAAAAAGGAAAAAAGCACAACATACATAAAGTTGAATTCATTAACATATACATAAAGAAGAATGAAGTAAGATTGAATTTACCACAAAAGGCCCATTTATGTGAAGTGGCATTTGAATGAAGGAACATTGGGTGGACATGTAGATAGTTTTTGCCATCTGTGATCCAAAAAGAGGAATGTCATAGAACATACCATGCATAAACAATATTAGACGCAGAAGATTGCAAATATTGCATTGTATATGAAAAACCGTATCATCAAAACAAAAGTCATCACCAGAAAAATCATGAAAACTCGTGAAAGAGCCTCAACAGAATTAGTTGGCCTACTAATCAGACAATATATGCTTTAACCACCAATATTAGTAAAATTCCATATGCACTACACTCAAGTACAAAATATAACAGTAGATAGTAGAATACTTTGAATTGTGACTTTAGAACCAATGCCATCATTGTAGTTCCCAGCTTTCCAAAATTGCCGACAAAGTGGTGCTGGAGATAAAGGCGATGTATAAGAAAGGCCAGTATCATCCACTGGTGACTGCCCTTGGTCTAATATACTAGAGCTACTGTGACCAGTACTTAGAGCATTTGAGCTCCTATTTTCTTCAGGTTCTCGTATTGCACATGGGGTCTTTGACTTTTGATGCTTCGCAAGTAGAGCCTTATTGTTCTCATTCTGTTGCAATTTTCTTGCAACGAGACCTGGCTCCAACTTAACAGGTTTCACATCAACCTCTCCAAGTTCATCATTGCTAGATAAATCTACAATGTCTGTTAAGGTCATCCTGCACACTAAAACAGAAATTAAACATGCATGCAACCAGGTAAGCATTTTAAATAAACAATGGGCACAACTCCTACAACACCATAACATCAAAAAGCAAGCAGGACATGAAAATTCAAATTCAAAAACCCAAGACATTGACAGATCAACAAAGACTAAATGAAGTCTTTTCATAAGGTGTTTTACTCAATGGAGAAGCAACAAGTCAAAATTACACCAAACTCAATCATGTAACCTGATCTTCTTTTGGTAAGAAAATGAAAATTTATTAAAGAAAGAAAAAAAAACGATTACAAAAACAAATGGACAATAGATCCTTCGGAAACAAATTTAAGCTAATAACATCCCAAGAGAAACAAGAAAACAGGCACAAGAAGCCTACAAGGCCAAACATAACCACACCCTTAAATACCACTTTATACAATGTGAATTTGCTATTAAGCAATTCAAGCGAATAAAAGGTTAGGGAATTTTTGTTGAAAAGCAAAAGACTGTTTCATGAAATTAGCTACACAAAGGTCCTACGAAAATAATCAGACAAATTCATAGGTCTCACCAAATTAGGTTTTCGCGACAGAGGGAGAAAGAGAGTGGTGGTGGTCGATGGAGAGAAAGCGCTGAGAGAGGAAGAGAGAACCGTGAGAGAGAGAGAGAGAGAGAGAGAGAGAGAAGTCAGAAGTGTTAGGGTTGATACATCTGCTTTTATATGGAGGGCACTTTGGTCATTTCACGTCCCCAAGTGATTATATTAGAACACAATTTGTAGCATGATCATTTCAGCACACTATTTCTGAAACCTGATTACACCAGCTTATTTCCCAACTTTATTACAGCAAACACAACGAAATTGAATTCACAATTCATATTTAATATCAAAGTCTGTTTGTAGAAACAAGAAAAAGAAAAAGAAAAATAGATCAACAACTGCTATGCTCTCGCAAAAAGAAAAAAATTAAATTAAATAAATGATATGCCATATGTATAGCTGAAACCCTGCACCTATTACGCAATATGAACCTCTTATTCCGGACTTGTACTTCCCCTTCCCCCCAAGCTACTATAAGATTGGCATCATCAGAAAATTGTACACCAATATGAACCTAGATTTAATTTACAAATAGATCCTTATGTAGAATAATGAATTAATGATATGATGATAATTAATGTAAATTTCATTAAATACCGTGAGGGGAAAGGAAACTGAACTAAACTGAAGTACCTGCACCTATTACGCACATGAGGAACCTTGTGGAATATGTTCAACGACGAGAAGTGGCACAATGTATGAAAAGTAGTATAGGATATATATGCATGGTCAACAATTGGTGGCTGAAAAGGAAGAGAAAAATGAGAGACGTTATCATGCTTCGATCAAGGCTATTATTACAAATGAAGTAGATGTTATCATCTACTCAAATTAAAGATAAATAATACAAATATAGCTGAAATGAAATGTGAAGTTGTTGTCGAAGGACACCTGTTAGAAACTCCTTGTGACATTCTCTAAGCTTTAAGTCTGTGAAAATCTTATTTTGACATTATGAAATTTATTTTTAATTTTTTGGCTGAGAAGTGTGTATGCATATTCTTCATGAATATGTTTAATTAGTTTTTTTTAAAGATAAACTAAAAAAATATCAAATTCTTGTTTTTATGTTTTTCTCTGTTTCTCTTTATCCATGGACATGGATTCGGCACCAGACATCTCCTATTCTTATTCTCTCTCTCCAACATCAAATGGAATATATATATATATATATATATATATATATCAAATAATTTATCATTTTAGAACATGGCCACTTGGGGCATAGAAAATACATCGAGTATCGGAAATCAATCTATCTACAAATTTTATTTTTATTTTTTTAAAAAGTGGTACTGTATCTTTTTTAATCTTACCTTATTCTTCTACTCTATAATATAATGCATTATTCACTAACAATTTTTTTGCAATATCTCTATATCTACTTTGAGCAGCAATATGCAACGGAATTATTTGTATTGATTTTCTAGTGTAAATTATTTATTATCGGAGAAGTTTCACCCACAAGAAAATCTAATTAAATAAAATAGAGAACCTTGTGAAAAGACATTAAAGTGGAACACTCACTAATAAGACTTCACTTTATGCACTCATCTAATTATACTTTGCTTGCTTAAACTCCCCATTCTTTTGTTCGCACACCATCAATCACTAACCCTCTCTCATCTCATGTCTACTCTAATGGGTGTTCCGAGTAAATTACGTGACTGGTGTACCATCTAATTAACATAGAACACGTCATAAAAAGTAATGTGATTAGTTGGAGAATAATTCAACATATCCTATGTGTATTAGATGGTATACCAACCACGTAGTATACCCAGAACATATAAAAAAATTCTCCCTCTGCTAAGGTTCCCTCTTCCCACACGGAAAACTCATCAATCTTGTATCTTGGAGGAGACTTAAAAGTAAAACTCAGTAACTACTAATAATCCAAAAATGAAAACATAGGAAATGAATCTAATACGCACTTGTCTCAAGGATAGAAAGAAGTAAAAAAGTTGAGTATCATGCGCAAAGTGTGCCAGACTTGGAAATTAAACGACAGCAAATTTGTAAACACAGAGCGGTGAACAATTTCGGGAGGCCAGCGAATGAATGCAACTACTTTCACTTTCCTTCTGTCGTCCATTTCTTGTAAATAAGAGTTCTACGTTACATATCAAAATTGTGGCTAGTTCTCTCTTAAATGCTCAATTAGAATGAGCTTCTCAGCAAATGACGGAGCTTCAATAATGCCCTTTCTTGAGGTACTTATTGTCCACCTTAACATTATTTGCGGCTCCCAACCTATCTGAAACATGCAGGGTGGAAGTTTGGCAAGGTTCCACTGTTCTTCCATTTACCGTTAATGGATGAGAGGAAGAAGAGGGTCTCGGCAGTTTTGGTGTAACATTGGTGTAACATCAGAAAAGGAAGCATCATTAGTCAGCTAAGAATCAATTACCAAAGTTTGAACCTGCTTAACAAAATTGATTCAACATCACTGCCAATTGACTGATACCAAAGTGAAAAACATTATTCTTTGGAATCAAAAGGAAACAGCTGCTAAGACCATAATCATGAAAGAGGTGGTGGGAAAGGGTTCAGAAGAGCTGCTAAAAACATCAGGAAGCTATCTAAGAGATGGCATTGTTCCACTAGAGAGCCCCTTGTTGGTCACCTGTGTGAGTGGGCAAGCAAAAGCTAATGAGATTGCCAATGCTCTGAAGCAAGTCTCTTAATCTGCTGCTGGAATGTGAGTTGTGGTTTTATGTTTTGTCTTGTACAGTGAGAAGTAGTATCACATAGTATTCCTCATGCATTCTCCCATTTTCACAAAGGGCTATTGTTGTTAGTATGATTAATACCCAATGTTCGTCCATTGTGATGCCCGCAGCTCTCTCCCGATGTCTCTCTGTACATGTATTTCTCTTCCATTGTTTCACAATAGCAACCTCGAAATCGCACTTCCATTAAAATGAGACTGTCACGGTTATGTTCACTTTTGTGTTTTGCACAGGTTGCTCTAAATTTTAGTTGAGTTCACTCGTAAGGACTGTTTACACTTCAAATGGATGCTAGCCCCAAATCTGCAAAACATTATCATCAAATCCTGAAGAGACATGATTGTGTGTAGGTTATCTCATAAATAAGAATATAACTCTACTTATATTATGTGTCAAGAAAACAAACAAAAGGAATAGTAGCTTACCATATTGTCCAAAACAATAAGTTCTAGATCACACGCACATTGCACGCATGAGTTTCTTCTTCAATCTTGACTCTGTCTGGTCAATAATAACACCAAGATAAACTTAGCAAGAAATGTTCAAAATTACCTTCAACCTTGAAATGATGGTAAACAGCTTATAACTAAAGACTCCTTTACCTGATTCTTGCAACAGCATAAGTAAAAATGACATGCTATCAAATAACAGAGGACCTTAACTGTAGAAACGGGAAAAAGGAAAATAAATCAACATGTATCATGATTATTATTATTTTAGTGTACTATAAGATACTCAAGGTAAAAAAGTTAATCACCGTCAACAACTGATATGCCATTTATATAGCTGAAACCTGCATTATGAAAAACACCATTGGCTGCATTATGCCATGTATCTCCTTGCCTGGAAAAGAAACAAAAATTAAAATATGAAACAGAGGATTACACCAGATGTTGCAATGACATCATGACCACATAAACACCAGCAACAAAAACAAGGCCATTTTATGAAACTAAGGACTAAAAGCTTCTGTTTGCATATCCGAAAAATTGGAACAAAATCATGCAAGAGTTGAACTGGTCTTGCCTGTTCTCTATGTATTAGTTGGTCTTCCAGACTAACAAACCTAATTTTCCTCAACAATCTTAAGTGTTATTCCACAAAGATTGTGAAAACACAATGTTGTATTTATAGTTCCTTCAACGAAGCAATTAAAACCAAACAAACTACTGATGAGTTGAATATGTTCCTTCAATTTATAGTAAACTAATTTTTTTTTCCTCAACTTCTTCTTTGAGAAAGAAAGTTAATTAACAACAAACTACTGATGAGTTGAATATGTTCCTTCAATTTGCAGTAGACAACAAACTTAATGGCCAATAAGTTAATTAACAACAGATGAAAGTGAGAGAGGACAAGAAAGCAAATCATAAATTCTGATTTGAGAAAGAAACGTACACATGACTCTGGCTCTCCTCGGTGCATCTTTTCATTCTGGGGAAATTTTCAGAGCTTCCACTGCTGGTAGATTCTTCAGATTCTCACATATACAAATAGATAGTTCAATGAAAGCTTCAAGGTTCCCTCAACACTCCAGTAAACCCTCCAGTTCATCAAATTTTTATAAACAACTTCTAAGGACTGTTTACACTTCAAATGGATGTTAGCCCCAAATCTGCAAAAGAGTATCATCAAATTCTGAAGAGACATTACTGCGTGTAGGTTATCTCATAATAACTCGGATTCTTCACACAAAGGTTACAAAGTGAGGAAAGAGAGGTGCCAAATGCATCCAGTGGTAAGATGGAAGCATATAACAAATGTTGCAGATTAATAGATGAAGCAAACAATTTACAACCAATTCTTATTGAAAAAAAAAGGAATACTATCCAATAAGAATTCTTATTGAAACAACAGGAATAATTTTCTGGCGCCAAACACTTCTCTTGGTTACTTTATAGAGTGCCAAGAACAGAGAAGTGGCGTTTACACTTGAAAGAAACTACGCTAATATAAGATTGGCAGCACCAGAAAATTGAACACCAATATGAACCTAGATTTAATTAACAAGTAGAATCCTAGAATAATGAATTAATATGAGATTAACAATTGTACCCCTCCTGTGTTAAAAAAATCCAAGTTTATAGCATTGATTCATTTAAGTCCGAGAATTCAAATGTATGTTATAGCATTGATCTAGAACTTGTTCACTGATTCATTTTAGCAAAACAGAAAATAAATTAAACTGGAAACTGTAACTGGTGTTTGAAAATTTCAAATGGAAACTGTACTTTCTCTGTAAGTTTCCACATAAAGAGACCACGGTAATTGAAGCTTTGAAAATATATGAAACACTTAACTGCTGATAAAGAAGAATGAAAAACAAAAACGGCAAAAGAAGAAGGCAAAAACGGAAGAAAAGGAAAGAGTTTCAAGTGATGACAGTAGGTATACAAGTGTTAAGGTTTGATATCACTGATAACATATCTAAATGTTGGTGTAAACTTTTCCAGCTAGTCGCTACACATGACTCTAAATGCAGTCGAACAAATATTTATACAGAGCAGGGTGATCTAATGAAATTAATTTAGGGAGATGTATATATATATAAATAGGAAAATGATTTCTAAGAATAATCTCCATGCTAGTAAAGTGATGTTATGATTAGATGGGAATGTATAATATAATGATTACCGTAATTCTCATCAAATACAGTTACCTTTTTTCCTTTTCTCCAAAGAAATGAATAAATAGTGATGCAGGGGAATGGGAACTGAACTGAAGTACCTGCACTAAGTTTGCACCTTTTGCGCATCACTTGTTCTTCCAATTGAGTAAGATCCTTCTGAAAACCAACAAACTGTGGCAAATTGAAATAATATTAGATGCCATCAGTGAAACAACTAAGCTAAACCCCTGTGCAATATATATTCGGATAATTCAATATGAAAATGATTTTTAGCGAATGGGAAACAGAAGTACCTGGATGGAAAAAGTTTTCACCTAATGTTTCTCAGCACTTGTTCTTCTGATTCGAGTAAAAGCCTTCTGAAAGTAGGCAAATTATACCAATTGATGAAATGATGATAGATGCCATGAGTAAAGCAACATAGGAAGTATAAAGCTCTGCAAAAACATTAAGAAGAGGCTCACTTTGTGCTTCAATGTGAAAGTTGCAGCTACTCCCCGAAGGAACATTCATGAAAAACATGAACAGTTGAGTACTGTGCTAGTTTGGTGAGGCTTTGAGTGAGTCGAATCATCACTTGAAGATTCCGATTCTTCACGCAGTATAATGATGTGAGAAATCTTGTGCCATTCTGGGCCGCTCTCCTTGGCACATCTTTCCTCCAGAAGGGGACATCCACTAATAAGTAGCTTGTATAATGTGGTGAGGCGTTGCATAACGTCAACGGTAGGCAGATACATCAGATTCTTACAATCCCTAATATCCAGGTAGATAAGAGATGTAAGGTTACCTATTTTATCATATTCACGCTGCCAACGATCATTTTCATCTAGTATCCCTACTAGGGCATTTTTCTTCCTGCGACTTGTGGCTTGCTTATGAAAGAAAGAGGTGTTACGGTCTCCATGCTGAAGCCACTGGACCCGCGATCTTTGGTGCCAATAAATTTCTTCCTGTTCAAGACACTTATCAAGTTCAGTTTCAATTAGGCTACGAGTATGAAAAGTCTGCATCGACGGCTCATCTGATTGAAGACTTGCCAACCTAAGCTGTAACTCCTTAACTTTCTTGGGGACCTGGCCACCCTTTTCGGCACACCAGCGTGACAAGTTGCTGGCACAGTTGTCAATATTAGAAAGGGGTGACACTGCATTCTGCCAAGATTGACGAACAACCTCTTCACAGTCAACTTCCGTAGTCCATACCTCCTCAAACTGAAACCGACGACGACCTCTAGGACCTCTAGCTTTGTCACCTTGTGGACCGTCAGATGCAATGAGAATCGGATGGTGGTCAGAGGAGAAAGCAACTAAATGATGGGACGTGAAATTGCCCCAGTGTTGTAGTGTATATTCATGAACTTCACATTGATGGGCCCACTGCTCACCAAACTTTTTAATCTATCACAAAATTTAATGTTGAACATATGCCCCACATTGATGGACCCACTGCTCACCAAACTTTCCAATCTATCACAAGATTGAATGTTGAACATATGCCCCACATCGATGGGCCCACTGCTCACCAAACTTTCCAATCTATCACAAGATTGAATGTTGAACATATGCCCCACATTGATGGGCCCACTGCTCACCAAACTTTCTAATCTATCACAAGATTGAATGTTGAACATATGCCCCACATTGATGGGCCCACTGCTCACCAAACTTTCTAATCTATCACAAGATTGAATGTTGAACATATGCTTCACATTGATGGGCCCACTGCTCACCAAACTTTCTAATCTATCACAAGATTGAATGTTGAACATACTGAGGGATGTGAAGAGGTTTAAATCTGGAATAGATTGTACACCACTACAACCTGTTATATTCAGCAACTCCACATTGATGGGCCCACTGCTCACCAAACTTTCTAATCTCTCACAAGATTCAATGCGCAAGTCACGGAGGGATGTGAAGAGGTTTAAATCTGGAATAGATTGTAGACCACTACATCCTTGAATCCAAACAACTGTAAGATGAGATAGATGGCCGAGTGTTGGGACTTCTTCACATCGGTTGCACCCGTTAAGCTTAATCTGCTTTAGATTGTCAAGCTTAATCATCCATGATGGAAATTTAGTACCCATGAAATATTGAATCTCTAGCCTTTCCAACTCAGAATGCGGCTGGAGGCCTTCTAGTACATCCTCTTCATTATTATTGGTTATTGACCTATTTTCTGACCATTCAAATAACAAGCAGCGTACGTTTTTTTTCTCCTCTAATTTAGCTTTACTTGCCTCATCTCCATTCCTTACGTCTTCCAAATTACAAATAATCAATTTACCCTTCAATTGATTCAAGGCAGCCAGCTCCTTAATTTCCCTACCCATCACCTCATAAGGTAATGTTCGGAGGAGCGTTAATCTCCCTAATACTCCAGCTGGAAATTTCACTCCCTCATCACAATAAACATGTCTCAAGTTGATCAAGTTTTGCACGTCTTTTGGAAATTCTTCAAGGTCGCAGTTTGTTGCTCTTAATGTCTGTAGGTTATATAGCTTGCCAACAGAATTTGGAAGTCTCTTGATTTTTGTAAAGGAAATATTAAGATATCTCAAGTGTTTCAGCTTTCCGATTGAACTTGGAAGCTCCTCAATACATGCCCCACATAATTTCAAGACACGTAAAGCTTTAAACCATGGCAACATGTTTCCAAGTTGTGCTTCAGCATTCGAAAACAGTGATCTCAATTTCCCACTACTTCCTTCTGGAATTCTTTCTATAATGGGAGTTGCAACATCTTCATTCTTGTGGAAGTCTAGCATCATACTTTCAGTTTCGGATACACGTTCTGCAAGATCGTGCACTAGATCGTGCATCTTGCATTCAGTAACAATGTCATCATCATCCACTGTAGCATTTTGAAATAAGGAGCTTTGGAATAGAATATCAAAATATTCATTACCTATATCCTCCATCTCTAGATTACTTTTTTTAGGAGAAGGATGGAGGAATCCTTGAGCCATCCAAAGTTGAATCAAGTCATCTCTTTCCATCTCAGCATCTTTCATGAACGCTGAGCAATATGAAAAACATTGCTTCAGTGCCGGTGATTCCAAATTATCGAAACTCAACTTCAAGACTGACATGATTCTATCTTCTGCTTTTGGTAAGTCCCATATTCTGTTGTTTTTGACTTCAGACCATTCAGCAGGAGTCTTTTTAGAGAGCAAAATGCCTCCCAAAACCTGGTAATGGATTAGAGAATTTCTATCAAATAATCAGTAGATAATATAGTTAGCAATTTAAAGAAGAGTCATTCAGATATAGCCCCATGCACCTAAAATTGTCTAGACAAAAACCCGCATACTTCTAACTAAAACCCAAAATTTGAATTGAACGACAAAATTATCCATTAATAATGATTTATTAACAATCCCATGCCGTAACCCCCCCTATATTTAGCACCGAACAGATTCTCCCTTTTAAATCCCTTATTTTCTGAGACCAAAAATAAAATAAAATCAATTTTAAATCCCTTTTGATAAACAGTCCCCGGCCAGCAAGCCCATACGAAAATTTTATTGTATTGTTTTTAAAACAAAAACATTAAACTTTGGGATATGAGATTGAATGTTTTATTGTATAATAATCTGAAAAAAGATGGTGGTTTCGATGGGGTTTGGATTTTTTCATAGCACTTTTTTTTTAATACAAATTTATAAATAAACCCAATTCTAGACATGTATTTATAAAAAAACCCAAGCACTATTTAAATATAGAAACACACCCAAAATCAACCCCAAAATTAACAATTGTATATTTTTTGGGTGTGTTTATAAATGGGTTTTGAGTGTGTGTAATGATGGGTTTTGAGTGTGTTTATAAAGTGTTTTGGGTGTTGGATTTTTTTATAATTTCAGCTCCTATTGTGGGTGTTTTAGTGAAACTCCCTTTTTTTTTATACTTGTTTAAGCTTTGAAAAAGGGGAATCTCTTGTATTGTTGTTGCCGACCGACATATCATGTTTAATTGATTTTTTAATAGTTTAATATCTTTTAATAGCAAATTGATGGAATCAATTGTATTCTTTGTAAATCACCCAAAACCCAATGATCAAAAAGGTTTTTAACCCTTAATTTTATATTTGTTAGGTAAATTAAAATTAATTATTGGAAGCAAGGTTTTTAGCGAATCACCACACCAATAGGCAATATTTACATATATCAATATTTTCCAGTGGGGTACTAATGCAAATGTCTTATGGAACATCAATAAGCAAGGTTAATTTCTATTTAATAAAGTGATGACATGAAACTATTCTATTCTTTCAGACCTTGTTATTTCCTTCTACATGAAAATGCATCAATGCAATTCAAAGTAACCCATTCATGATATGATCCCTAAATGCCAAGAACTCATCCAACAATCTATAAAATTATAAATAAATAACAATACCTGTTGTAAGCAATGCTTGTATAAAAAAATATATGTGTACCTTTGCCATCAATGGTAGACCTTCACAATTTTTAGCAATTTCCCGTCCAATTCTCTCTAAACCAAGAGGTATATCAGAACTACCATCTGAGCAAGCTGCATGTTTCAATACGGACCAGCATTCATCCGTTGATAGAAGTTTCAATTCAGGCCGCGGAAGTGTTTCTGTGAGTGATGCAACTATGCCACTGCGGGTAGTGACAATAATTTTGCTTCCTGGAGCAGAATTCAACTTTGACAAATAGCTCATCAAACTTTCCCATTTCTCCGAATCTTCATTCCAAACATCATCAAGTACCAGCAAGTATCTTTTCGCTCTCAACTCTTCTTCAAGGTATTTAAGCAGTGCATCTTGATTTTCTCTTACAGTGGCTTTTGATGGGTTAAGAGATTCTAACATGCAGATCAAAATCACATTGATGTTAAAAGGATCAGACACACACACCCACATCCTTTTTTCAAAATACTTTGAATCATCATTGTACACTGACTTGGCCAAAGTTGTCTTTCCCAGGCCTGCCATTCCCACAATGGCCATAACAGCAATATTTTCTTGATTGATGTTGGAGTTGGTCAAGGTTGTAACTATGTTTGAAACAACCTCCTCCCTGCCAACGATGATTCCATCTTTTTCAGGAAATGAGTCGGTTTGTATGCGTCCTCTAATTCCTTGAGGGGCTGCATCTATTTGCCTGGAAACTAGTCCAATGACAGGAGCCTCGCTCTTGAGATCCACCAAGGATGCATTGATCTTCTGAATTTTATGTGCAATTTTAAGGCGGAATGCGACCGGGTTGGAGAGTGAAAAGAAGTTGAGTACCTTTTTCTTCATATGATTTCGGATTTCTACGTTGCGCCGGAGAAGTTCATAGTTGAATTCATCCAAGACATCATCTGCATCTTGAGCTAGGCGTGTAAGATTTGTCACCCATTTTTTTAAGGACCCGCCCTGATCTTGTGGTTTCTGGGGAACGTCAGCTAAGTAACCTTCAATGGTGGACAGCGTTTCACGAAGCCTGTTTAGTTCAGCTTTGAATCCCCAGGCAAGACTGATTTCGTGAGCAGCAAGGGAAGTCAGCTTTGTCAGTATTCCCTCGGCAGCAAAAGTAAGCACAGATTCTACTGCCATATCCTAGTTTCCTTGTGTAACCCTGCGCAAGACAAACAGCAGATCATATTAATGCTAGTTAATTAATTAAGAAACGAGAAGAGGAGACTGAAGATGGATGAAGACGCACAGGCACAGAGCTTCTCTCGTAGGTAGAAGGAGAAGGAGATGATGAATGCAGATTTGCAATACAAGACAGCAATAGCACGCAGGGACAGGCAGGCAGAGGAGCTATAGCGCTTCTTTAACTCTCAGGAGGAGACTTAAAAGTCTTGGGCTCTACCATTTTGATATTTTAATCAGGCGTGAAAACAACCACTGACGGTTTAAATATTCTATTTGCTATTCCTAGAGCATCCAATGTAACTTTATATATTTGCCTTTGTCTGCTCTATACATCCTATGCCGATGTATCATTGTATACACAATCATTCAATAACAATTATTCATTATAATATTTTCAGATCTTACAGCATGAACCCAATCCCAGCGAGGAGGGACACCACACACAAAACGCAGGGGTATTTTTGTGTTCTCAGTAAAAATATGAGGGTACTTTTGGCATGAAAACTCATAATAAATACTTCTTCTTTTTTTAATAATTTAACTTCCAAAATTCATAATAAATACATTAAAAATCTAAAAACTACACCGAAAATTTTTAGGAATTCCTTTGTGACATTCTCTTCACCCTAAAGCTTTAAAAATCTTATTTTGACTTACAAAAACTCAAAGTGACAAAACAATTCAAGTTTGTTTCCAACCAAACCAAAACTTAAGTTAATTTTCTACAACCTAACACTCTTGTTTCTTTAATCCAATGGTTACCATGAACTCTTTGTGGTATCATAATTTTAGACCTCAAAAATCAAAGACCTTGTCGTAAGGACTGCATACCTTTTTCTTTTTCTTTTTCTTTTTTTTAGGTGTGTATTTTTCTGATTTTTAATTTAAGTTGTTATGAATTTTTTAAAATAAATAATACAAAGAAATGACACGTGACACTATCGTAGAAGGACACCTGTTAGAAATACTTATGGTGCGCCTTTCAGCAACTTCCTCGTCGTGTCAATCACTTCCATTTGATTAAACTTCTAAAATTTACAATAAATGCACTAAAATTAAAAAATACACAGAAAATTCCTAGAAACTCTTTGTGACATTCTCTAAGCCTTAAAGCTGCGAAAATCTTACTTTGACATTATGAAATTTATTTTTAATTTTTTGGCTAAGAAGTGTGTATTATTAGTTTTTTTTAAAGATAAACTAAAAATAAATAAATCAAATTCATGTTTTTATGTTTTTCTCTGTTTCTCTTTATCCATGGACATGGACTCGGCACCAGACATATCCTATTCTTATTCTCTCTCACCAACATCAAATGGAAAAAATATATATATATATCTCAAATAATTTATCATTTTAGATCATGGCCACTTGGGGCATAGAAAATACCTCGAGTATCGGAAATCAATTATCATTTTAGCATATCTCTAATAATTGTTACATCTAGAGCTTTACAATCTATCTACAAATTTTATTTTTATTTTTCAATAATGCTACTCTTACTACATTTTCTCTTGTCAGCAACTTGTTATGGCACATTTCCCTTGTGAAAAAAGGGAAAATAAAAAACCCAGATCTGGAGGGAGAAATAGGGAGAGAGAAGGAAGAGGGGTGTGGGTAGTGTGGCTAGAAGAAGAGAAGATGCACAGCTCAGAAAATGCCGATTCATCATTACTTGGTCTCTAATATGCACATTCTCATAATCTCTTCCCCAGAAAGCAAAAGCACCAAGCCACAAATGACAACAAATGACAAAGCAGCAGAACAGAAGAATAACAAAGTAAAAGGAAAAAGAGAAAAGACATTAAAGTGGAACACTCACTAATAAGACTTCACTTTATGCACTCATCTAATTATACTTTGCTTGCTTAAACTCCCCATTCTTTTGTTGGCACACCATCAATTACTAACCCTCTCTCATCTCATGTCTACTCTAATGGGTGTTCCGAGTAAATTACGTGACTGGTGTATCATCCAATTGACATAGAACATGTGAAATATTTCCAATGCAGCTAGCCACATGTCATAAAAAGTAATGTGGTAAGTTGGAAAATAATTTTACATATCCTATGTGTATTAGATGATACAACAACTATATGGTGTACCCAGAGCATATAAAAATTTCTCCCTCTGCAAAAGGAAGCAATAGTCACATTTTTTTTAAGTAACTAATATATTTTGGTGACAATTATGGGTGATCAACCCTCTTAACCAAATTAGTCACCATTATTTGTGTCTACTGATTTAAATATAATAAATTTTATTGTAGTTGACACATGAATAGTAATAATGTAATCTATTTATATAAAGCAAAAGGCAGAGAATGGTGAAACATTCAAAATACCAAAAAATGCCATTTGTTAATCCAAACATTAAGAATTAAAATTATTAATTAAATGAGGATAATATGGTAAATTCACACATTTTTATATTTTTTAAAAAAATTTGAAAGAAAAATCAGATAATGAATCCTATTTTTATGGAACACAACTATCCATTATGTTTTTTAATTCTAAAATAATTTTTTTAAAATTTTTAAAAAGCCTCTCGCAGACGCGAAAGCGCGTGTGAAGAGACTAGTAAAATATAAAAGGATAATCTTTCCCATAATAAAATATTTACAATAGTAATTTAATAAAAATATATGGATAGAATCTTTCTCACTAACCAAGACTCTTTTCCCTTCCTTTTATATAATTAGTAATAGTTACTCCAAATAATAAATATTATAAAATAAAAAATGTGAGAGCATGCATGTGCGTATGAAAATGCGCCCAAACCAACCCCTCTTTTTCTTTCTTTTGTAATTTTTATTCTCCCCATATCTCATCTCTCCCAACGCCTTCATTTTTTATTTTTTTTCCCATCTTCTTCTTCCTTCCGTCACTTTCCATCTCTCCCTCTCTTTCTATTGAGTTCAATTTTCCTGTTTCCATTTCTCCTGTTCCCACCTATTTCCTTTTTATTTTGTTGACATGTGTCCTCACTTAACATGCCACAAAACATTGTTGACTTTGAATCAAATTATTTATAAATAAAAAAACTCAAAATTGAAGAAAAAGATAAAACGCAACGACCCACTTGACCTCAACCGCCACCCACCACAACCACCCCACCCCAGTGGCGACAATCCCTTTTTATTTTTATAGATGCAATCATGGAGGCGTTGTTGTCTTTAGATTGCATTGATTTGGGAATTGCCAGGCCATGAAGAATATTTGTGGTTGTGGGACATGCGAAGAACAACTTCCTTCAAGTTTCAATCCTCACTCACACTATATAATAATAGAGCCCCTAATAATAATTGAGGAAATATTAATCCCATTCACACGTACATGACTTATATATTGCAATTTGCATTTAACAATTTGAATTAGGTAGGACGGGTGAATGGTAAGTAATGCAGTCATTGTTTAATCCTTTTTTGTGTCCGAATTCAAATGGATTAAGAATTGTTAATTAGTTAAAGACAAAGAGTAGGTGGTTGAGGACCTACGCAAGGAACGATTAGTAAATTGAGGACCTAAGCAAAGTGTTATGAACACTAGTTTTAAACAATCTAGATATAATAAATAAATAAATAAACAACCAAACAAACAAAAAGGTTAAATAGATTGACTTGATAACTTGCCATGCACTTTCCTTCATAATTGAAAATTGCAAATTGCAAATTGCAGTTTGTTAAATCTGTTTGGCTTGGATTCACTCATATTCTAGTCTCTCACTCACATTTGTTTACTATGTAGCTTTGAATATTGTCATATAGAAATAATATATTGTTTTTTTTTATATGTAATCCTTATGGCTTTATGTCTCTCGCATATTCTCCTATTTTGAGTTTGCAAGAGGTTATCAATGAGGTGTTAGTTGGATTAGCTCAGGCTTTTGGTGTACTCACAAGGAGTCATGAGTTCAAGTCCCATTGGTACATGTGTGTGTGTGAGTTTTCCCCTTTTCCTTTCCTAACTTTGGCAACAAAAAAGAGAGGAAAGAATATGCATCAGGTTGAATTAAAATAGACTAATAATGGTTCTTTTGAGATAAATTAGATTGGTTTTTTATCCTCTTGGACCATGTCCAACACTGCTTAGCCAAACCGGTAGTTTAAGTTTTGGATTCAAAATCCTACCCCAACGCATGTATAGAAATGGGCCAAAATTCTGGATTGTGAATAGAGTTGGGTGATAGCATTCGAGTCGGACTGAAAACCTGACTGGACCTACCAAGACAACCTACATGCAGTTGTAAGCATTTGGAGCCCCACTTTGAAAGCTGAGTTTTATGTGTACGTAGTCCAAAACTTCTTTTTTTTTATAAAAAAAAAATATTATAAAACGCAATATGGGGGAGGGCAGTTTTCTCACACACACTGTCAAGGTTTCATGGTGCCATAGGGCTCGAACATGAGACCATTAATCTGTAAGTCAAGGGTTTTTTTTTCCACTGGCCTAAACTTCATTGGCAAACTCAAATTTTTTCCCCAAAATTAGAGAAAATGAGGGAATTTTCTCACATGCTCCCAAAGTGTTATAGAACTAATTAATGGAGCCTACACTTTTCAATATAAGTAGCACCATTCCTCTTTTTGAAATTTTTTTACTTGTGTTGTATAAATCTGCTGCAACATTAATTCTTGCTACTATTGATGCATTGTCTTTTATTATGCCATGTGTAAATAGGGGTGGTAATAGACCGAATATGGCAATACCATTCCCATCTCTTTCGAGGGGCTACCTCCCAAACCCGCCTCGAATTTTCAATTTTTTATTATTTTAAAAAAATCGTATATTATAACACTTTCTTTCACATTAAATTATCATTAAACTCAATTACATTCAATTAAATTATAAAATTCAACTCATTGACTCAAAATAATATCAATTCAATTTCAAAAAATTAAATATATATTATATTATAATATAATCATGCATTGTTATATTATATTTAAAACTACT